TATTTTTGAACCCAGAAACCCAAATTCTGGGCCACTACTAGGTTTACAGGACTTACCAAACTTCATTTCACCAATGACAGAAGGTGGTACCAAAATGGAAGACTKTACACAACAAATTTGAACAGATGGGCATGTGAAGTGATGAACATAAGCACAACTAATAGTACTTCCTCTCTTTCCCTACTATATGTGACATTGTGTCCCTATTTTGCTGTTCCTTATGTGTCTACACTTTTACTTACCAGTTCTACTATGAGYAATGATTGAGCAATGACTGTGTAGATGTTGCAGAAACAGAACTACTACTAGACACTAAAATTATGTACGCATGTGATTAATTGTGTTTCAGCATATGAAATTGCAGGAGTCTATTAACACAGGAACAAATATTGAAAATGGTCTGGTGGACCTCTTTTGAAGAAGAATCCTCATGGCAAATACCAGAAAGTTCTCCATACACACAAGAASTATAGCCTCATAAATGAACTACTCTTAGGTATTGGGTGCAAACAGGGGCACATCAAAATGACCATTGGAACTCTTTCAACAGGTAAAATGAAATCTATACTAAAAATAGCTCTGTTTGAACAAGTCTTATTCGACTTTSACTAACTGCACAACTGTTATGGGGATAATACATAAAATTACTATTGGGGTATTAGATCGGTATGGCACAAAAGAACCATTCTAATTGCTCAAATATTGAGCTTATTTCAGTAGTAAAGGTGTTAAGGGACACATATAGTGGAACAGAGGAAGTAAAGTAGTATGACATATACATTATTTGATACAAGTGCAACCAACAAGGAAATATTGCTTTCAAAAAATCAGTGGACTATCAAAAAGGATCCTCGCGATGAATTTAATGATAGTATCCTTTTTCAATTTTGAATTGCATTTGTTCCCTCTATGCCTCTACATAATCTGCTCCTCTTGGTTTTGAACAGTAGTCGGTGGTGGAATTGCTGTAGTCACCAAAGGGTCGTTTGAAGACAAATAAGCCTTTGAAGTAAAGCGATCGAGACAAAGCACCCCAGAAACGAAATAAGCGATGGCACAAACTCCCCTAGAACATTTTTTTTTGGGAGCATTCAGGTTAGTGGCGTGAACAACGAAATAAACTGATATTGAGGCACCATTACAATAACTTACAAGAAAAAGGATGTGACCTGTTGGAACACTACGACACTCATGGGCAGATCAATAGACGTCACATTCGAAATCGCATCGTCGTCATAGTAGACATCTTGATTGAGCAGTTGATTGCGCTCTGCAATGAAAAGAGGATTCGCTCCAGTAATAGCACTGACAAAAAGGAGCAAGAGCGAACGTGCGATAAATCCCTTGAATCCATAAAAGGACTGGTCCAAAATACAGTACGAAAGCCCCGTGTCAGTCAATCCAATACAAAATTTGCAACAGGTGGTGAGTGACGCTGAAYAAGAAAGAATAACAAAAATTTCTACCGAACAAGATRAAATATGTTCCAATGAAAGAGAMATTTCATACCTGGACGACCCAAGCAACGTCAACTTCGACAGCAAGAGCCACACCCGAGAGAAAGAGTCCGTACACCCTTATTATCATGTCTCTACGCCCACCGACAATGTTTCGAACTTCTCTAGTTGCAAGAACTTCCAAAAAGATTATGTACATCATGTTCGCTGCAAGTGTCAAAATAAGGAACACGAAAGTCACTGCTTTCAGGACACGGATTAACACCAATAGTTGACGGGGAGTAACGAATTCCCCAACAAAATCAGTGACAGTCTTTGTGTATTGAGCAGCATAGCTGTTTCCTTCCGCTCCTCCTAGRTTGACATAGTTGGTGTTCAGTCGGTCGTTGAGACTAGTTGTTCGGGATTGATCAACAGAAGCGTGTGGCGATGCCGTTGGTTGAAACTCCATTTTGTGATCTCAATGTTGGATTTTGTTGGAGTCAACTGAATGCGATTATTCTTGGCCCCGATTCAAACAGTGTCTCAGTCCTATCACCGGTCTTATCTTGATTTTATTTTTTTTAGAATGACAAAAATACAGTAGCTTCATGACGATATATTTCTCGATTAGCAAGCGTAAAAAAGCTCTGTTAACGTTTTTCAAATACAAMAGGGATGCATATTCTGTCGGTACAATTCCGAAATACGAGTTATCGTACCTTTTTAACGGTTGATCTACGATCATTTTAGTTTTTGAAAAAGTTTGCGAACTCTGCCTACTACACTCATCGGATAGATTTATCGAGCCGGGCGATGCGCGAACRCCTATCAAATTGATTTATTTTCACATCAACGAAGTGATCCTCCAATAACCAGGGGTCGATGACCCCTGCCAATAACTACGTACGGTATACTCGTAGGTAGGTACCTCGTACTCGTGCTTGGTTCAATGCACAACGAGCACGAGYCTTACGAGTCACCTGGTGATCACGCAGAAACAAGCAAGAGTCATCAAGAGACATCCAAGGCAGCCTGGATGTCCTCTGATGACATCATGTCAAATCCTGGGTCAGACATCAGAACAAAATTATACTGTATTTATTTTATAGCATAACAACCTTTCATAATCTATTTTATCTACAACAAACATACTCACGTAGTTGGTGCACAGTACTACTTTTTACTACTAAACTCAAGATACGTGCTGATACTAGTAGTAGTAGTAGTAGTAGTAGTAGTAGTAGTAGTAGTAGTAGTAGTAGTAGTAGTAGTACCTAACAACAATGACTCAATCAAGACTGCTATCCAACCCCTGCCTAATGGTCAAGCCTCCATTCAAGATCAAAAATCTATCCAATTCTTGAAACTTGTGCCTATACACAGCTGACAACAATCCAATGAAACCAACGTGTCAGTGCTTGGTACCTAGTATTCTCGTCTGGCAATTACAGAGTGCAGGAGGAACTGATATATGTTGAGAAGGAATTCTTAGATATCTGTGAAGACTAAGTAGAAGGCAGGGAACATCATGTCAAATAGAAATAAGTATTGAAACATGGCTAGGCCTTTGGAACAAACCAGACCCAATCGAAGCCTCCAGCAGGAGGGAAACAGATGAGGGGTTCTGCACAGCCTTGGATGATGATGCCTACTACAAGGAATACTCTCCAGATAGAGGATTGTATGTCACAGTTTTTCAGTATCTTTGATCCGATAAAGTATATGGATGCTATCCTCCTACTATGCTGCAATTGTGCCAACTGGCTTCATGGCATAAGGGGACAACTCTCCAAATCAGAAAAGAAACACATAATATTCAAGTCCTTTCCTYRCAAATGGAAGATACTAGTACACTTTAAAAGAGTGCTCACAATTTAAGGAACAATTCCATCAAGATATAGTGTCCTACATGACCAACCAAAAAGAGATCACAGAAGAAGCAGCTGAACAAGAGAGGAAATAATCCACAAGGTAACAGAGGAGGCCGTGGTTGGAATAGATCAAACCAACAGAATGGCCACCAAAACAACCACAGCARCAGGCACCAGAAATAGATTGATGCCAAAATCAGCAACTTGTGTAGACCACACAAGGCCATARATTGGGGAGCTGTCCTCTTAACTGGTGCAATCAACAGCAGGCTGCTGCCATGGCTGCAGAGGCTGCAGTGGATGTGGCCACAGCAACTTTCAATATCATCATCAAACCCAGACCTACTACCAAATTAACRGCCAATTTGTGCCCACTCAACTTGTCACCAGCAGTTGTACACAACCAAGTTTCAGTAGCCAACCAGTCAACACTCAGTGGTACCTTTGATGATCACCACACCAACCATGTCAACATGGTCAGCAGGCTTGTACCACTTGTCAGCAGACCAAACAAGCACTTACAAGCAGTAGGAAGGCTACTGTCAATTTTATCCATTTAACAACACTCAACCTCATGCAGGGCGCCAGTGGTGACCTGCAAGCTTGCCCTGCAACTSYYCT